GGGGCACTTCCTGACTGGATCTGAGCTTAAACTAGGAAAGGATGGATAAGAACAGTTTTTACCTTCACCGCTCTTTTTTTTTGCATTTTGTTTTAATTGTACTTTAAGGATATTCCTTTCAATAAATAAACCTTCAAATCATATATATTCATAAAATATTTATCTCAGTCTGACATAGTCTAGGAGTTTCTCACTTCCACAAGTACTACAGATTTGCTGCATTCTAAGTCCAACTTCCAGAAGCAGGATTTGAATCACAGTTCTTTTATTCTGCTCTCCTAATGATTTTTATCCCTATGTCATTCATATGAGAAGAGCATGGGCCCACAGGGAGAAGAGCTGTAGAAATCACCAAATTGTCAGAAGCACAGCTGCAAAGGAAAAGGATAGGCTCCCAGGAAAGTAGGAAAGAAAAGAAGTGACAAGTACCAACAACCCGAGAAAACAGAGCCATCTGGGAATCAGAGATCAGCCAGAGGCACCTGAGAAAGGGATGACCCTGGAAAGGGGAGGCAGATATAGGTCAGGTGAGTGGAAGGGAGGTTAAGAGTAGAACAAGAAATGGGAACAGGGAGAGGCAGCAGCCAGCAGAAAAGATGACATCCTCCAAGTTGCTAAGGGAAGAAGAGAGGCAGAAATTATGTTAGATGAAAGAAGTGTTCCTAGAAAGCATGTTATGGCCTAGATCTACCCCTGACTTTTCTGATCACTTCATCTGCCCCCGGAATTTCATGTCCAAGAGGGTTTGTGATGGTTCTTCTCCAGGGCTACAGGAATAAGAAGCAAAACATCAGGGATGGATAGCTTCAGGTGGCTATTCATGAAAGGCGAAACTAACCAATGTATTCGTTTTTAGCTCTGATCTCAATAAAAAATTATGGTGGTTGCAAGACTATTCTAGCATTCTTAATCCCAGCTTGCTGCACATTATTTTCTCAACAATCACTGATAATTCTCCAAGTTATTTCTCAACAATCACCGATACCTGAGCTGCTACCTTTCACTGGGATTTAGAATTATAAAGAAAACTAAATAATATCATTTACCTGTGGGTCATTTGCAGACCATAGGAAAGGTAAACATTTATAAATAATGCGATGAAAAGTACAATGCTAAAGGTACTAGCAAAGGACATGGACGGAAGGAGGGTGTGTCTTCCAGCCATTTCACACACACACACACACACACACACACACACACACTCCCACAATGTAGTACACTTGGTTCATTTCACCTGGAAAGCCCCTTCCCAACCTTGAACCCCAAGCCTTTCCCAACTTTGAACCCATATCTCTTGAAATTTTTAGCACTCTCTAAACCTAAACGGTCAAATGCCATTTTCTTAACAAAGTGGTTTCTCATCCTAAAGCTAAATCTTACTATTTTGTGTGATTCTACAACACATTATTTGTGTCTTTGTTTTAACATTTACCCTAATTGTTCTGCAAAAAAGAAAAAAACTATGTATGGTGGTGACACACATGGACACACACACACACACACACACACGCACAAGATTCTTTAATAGCAGGATGGATGCCTGATTTACCTTTTGGTCTCTCATAGACTTGAACATGGAAGTTTCCATGATGCACTCAGGACTTGATGAGGTGAAAACTCACTTATATTAACGAATCTACAGCCCCTTGTGTGATGCTAAAATATGCCCTGCTTTATTTTGGACAATTGTGAACCCTTGTTTACACAGACCAAAAATGATTTCTTGGAAAGGGATAGGGGCTCTCCAAAAATAATGACCCTTAGGCCTAAAAAGATTCAATCACCCTTTTTATCTGTTTACATCTGGACAAAGAACAGGCAACAAAACAACACTCTCAAATTAATCAAATGATTTTTAATCTAATATCTTATTTACAAAAGAAGAATCTATACTAATATCTGAGAAATTCAGATAATTCTTCAGTATCACACAGCCAAAACTATGCATAGATTTCAAGACCTTTAAATTCAAGGTTCCTCCCAGCAGACCAAATAGTTTACCTTTAATAAAAGAGAAAGCACAACTAAAAATGAAAGAAAAAGAAATAGCACTAGAATATATAGAGAAAATAATTCATTGAAAAGCATTATGCATCATACAGAACATTTGCTAACATCAGTGAAAATGTATAGAGGGTTTAAAGCTTTAATTTAAAAATCTGACTTTTTAAATCCCCAAATCCTTTACACTTCAGACAAGTGATTTAATACAGTTTGCAATAAGAGTTATTCTGAAGGTGTTCTCTAAGATATTTCAATATGTGTGGGTGATACTGGTGGTAAACAGGTGTTCTTAACACTTGCAGAAGTAAACTAATACATCAGGGCTCTGTCAAGAGGTGCACATTCGCACATGTTCTGTCCCGTCACAATTTAGGCAATGCAGCAGGTGCACTCCAATCTGACATAGTTTACTCCATCCCAGTTCTGCTGTTATCACCAGAGCCCCCGCCTCTTTTCTGACCTTTCCTGTGTCACTGCTGCATTCCCCTCCTCCTGACAAACATGGCCCAGTCTTTCAGACGCCCCAGATTGGGTATGCGAGTGTGCACATGTGCACACGTGTATGCACACACACAATTTGAATTTAAATTTGAGTTTAAAACACTGGGTTTCAATTCTAAACCAGAAAATACAGATCTATCTATCTCAGATGCATAATATGAATACATCTAGGTTAAGCTAATCTTCACAGTGATACATAATTACTCAGAAAAAGACCATTTTGTTCTAAAAATTCTTTCATTTGCTGCAGAATATGGTCTGTGTAATCTGGTTTTCGGCTTGAAATTGCTTCCTCTGCTCTGTACTTCCCAAGGCCCCCTCAAGGGCACAGGGGCAGTACACGGGTTGTGCAATTACCTAAAGACTTAATTAAATATTAGTTCTACCATTTAATTCTATGTGATCTTAGAAAACTACTTAAATGATCTGGACAATAATTTCCTTATTTCTAAAATGAGGATATCATTCCCTACTTCATGGAGGTGTGAGAACTTGAGGTAATGTCAGTGAATGCTGCATGGTGGAGCTCAGAAAAAAACAACTATTATGATGAAGGTGACAGTGAAGGGAAAAGGAAGAGAAGGCATTCCTGAATGCCTTCCCCATTTCCGAATTTCCTAGCAAGTCTTGTCAGAATTTGACTGTCAGCTTTATCTGGGGAATATTATGCTCCAGGTAGAGAAAAGAGAACTAGTAAGGGGGAGTCAGCACTTAATATATGATTTTCCTGTCTTGAGCTTACATTACACATCACTCTTGGGAAGAGGACATTTCACAGTAGCAAATTCAGTATCTTTTGAGAAGTCAGGGCCATTTTTTTTCCTTTTTGCTTAGGAGATTGGACTTCAAAAAAGATTCAACAACCTGCGTCTCAACAACAGCTAACCACAGAATTTCCAGTTATAGCAAAGGTCCCCGCGAATTTGCTTCCCCCTGGCATTCTAGAACTGTCTAGATCACAGGACAAATGCCTAGAGTCTTCCTAGAGTCACGGAGTCAGAATACATAGCCAAGCCACCAGCTGAGCTGTTGTTAAGGTTTTAGATGTCCAAAGCACAACAAGGAAGGAGGAAGCTCAGACATACCCTGAATGATATGGCCATTTACTGCCTGCCTAAGATGCCATTCTGATTGCAAACACATACTACCTGCCATATCTCCCAACAAAATAACTCCATTGAAAGCCTGAAGGCAAATGACTCATGTTAAAACTGGCCCATGCATCATTTCAGTGACGACTCAATTAAACATCAACTCAGTGACAACTCAATTAAGCATCAATTAAACATGGAAAAGACATACTCTGAATGAAACACATGACATATGACATATCCCAAGAAGTGAGTTAATGTGTAGCAGAACAGAAGTGACCATAGCTATATAGAAATTTAGTGTCCTTCTCCTGGCTCGGAACCAACAAGGAATCATGAGGACAACGAACCTGGAAGACCTCCAAAAGAAAAGGTGAGCATTTGAAGCCAGCACAACTATCCTCGTGCAGAGAAAGCAAAGCTTGGGGGTTGCATGAGGTCATCTTTTCAGCCACCAAAAAAAGGAGACTGGTCCAGGGAATGCTTGAGAGTTTGTCTAGGAGTCTAGAGGTGATTTAGTTGTTATGTCTCCAAATGAGATGAAGGATTGGCACAAGTCCACCCCTTACTCCACGAGTGCTTTCCAAGTATCAGCATTGTACTCACTCAACACACCAGGCCAAACTCACTGTAGTCTAAACATCCTTCCCTAGAAACCATGATGGAACAACCTTTCCACTGAAAGGAAAAGTTCACATTTAACAAATCCAATGAGAATGTTGTCAAGGAGGAAAACCCTAACAAAGAGACAATGGCTGGAGAAGAGCTTTTCAAAGCTGTAGTTCTAGAGCAGTCAGGCAGACACCTGTGTATATATAGACAAAGCTTCAAACACCGCCTCATCACACCTAATGACTGCCTGTGATGCAAGCTTGCAGCCTCTATTTCTGGCATTTCCAACAACAAAAGTATGTGTCTTTATGCTCAGCCCTGATTCTGAACCTACTCTCTAATGCTTATCTATTTTTTTCTTAGACAGGGTCAGGTAAATGAGAAAGGAAGTACTTTTCAATTTTAATTTTGATCCACATCTAAAAGAGTTAATTACTTTTTATTCATTATCCTTGAGCTCTCCTTTTTATCTTGAAGTGATTCAAGTAAACGTACCCTTCACATATGCTAGCCCCAACATGAACAGGGTTAACATTTGCAAACTAAGGCTGTGAAATATAAACAAAGCAAAAGAAGAAATAACAATGCTGTGCTGACGAGTCCCACAATCAAGGGCAGGGTGTACTTACATCCCTTGAAAGCAGCTGCTTTGGTTTAAGTTTTTTGGTTTGGAATTAAGAGAAGTCTCTGACATCTGTTTTCTCAGCACAATAGAAAAGCAACCTGACCCATTAACAACACGAAAATGGCAGAATTACAGCACAGTGTGAACAAGCAGGAATAGAAAAATACCTGGGATTGCCAGATTGGAAAGGGGGACGTCGTGGAGGTGAGGGGGGAGCGAGGCCATCCAGTCGGCATTGCAGACCTCCAATGCTGTCTTTGTCCCGCTGGGGTTGGGGGAGCAGATGGTCCCCATCCTGAGTTTCCTCCTTGCCTTTCTAAGTGCTAGCATCCCTCTCACCCGCAAACTGGCCAGGCTATGACCAGTGCCGCTCACTCAGAGACCATCACTGCTCGGGCTCTCTAGACATTTCAGGGCCACCTCTGTCACGCCGGTCTTTCCGAAATGCCTTTCTGGCCGGAAGGAGGTGGTGGCTCCCACCCTCTCGGGCCAGCCTCCGCTCTTACTCCCCTAATCTGCTCAGTTTCGGCCCCGTTAAACTTCTTGTGTTCTCCTCCGGAGCTGAGGGAGGTACACAGGCGCCTGGAGAGAAACAGCACTGGAACCGAGCGTCCGAGGAGCAGCCACGCCCCGAGCTACTCACACGACAGGTGCCTGTGCAGCAGGGGACCTCACCGGGTCTGCACACACGTGAGTGCCGCCGCGCGCCGGCTCCGGCGGGATTTATACTTCTGAGTAACGCACCGAGCTGGCACAGGAGCCGGCCCGCCCTCTCCAGGCCCGCGACACACCCTGCCTGCCGGGGGCTTCCTCCGAGCGCTCTGAAGTGTAGCCGGCTGCACCTCGG